GCGCACACTGTTAGATAGTCAGTTGTGCAGTGATTTTCTGAAGTGGAGGAACTGGAAGTGAGAGAACTGAAGACAACACTGAAAACATTTTTACCACGTACTTTTCTAAACTTTTTAAAAAATGTATATTAGTGTTTTGCTATGGGTTTCATGTCCCCTGGAATTGGAGTTACAGACAGTTGTGAGTTGCCATGTGGGTGCTGAGAGTTGAACCCTGGTCCTCTGGAAGAGCAGTCAATGTTTTTAACCTCTGAGCCATCTCTCCAGTTCCACTTTTTAAAACTTAGGTTTTGAACCAGGCAGTAATGGCATACCACACGCCTTTAATCCCAGCACTCGGGAGTCAGAGGCAGGTGCTTCTCTGTGAGTTCGAGGCTAGCCTGGTCTACAGAGCGAGTGCCAATACAGACTCCAAAGCTACACAAAGAAACCACATGGCAGCTCACAAATGTCCAAGAGATCTGACTCCCTCTTCTGACATCCAGAGAGCATCAGGCACACACATGGCAAACAGACATAGATCTGGCAAAGAAAGTATCCATATGCATAGAAGTACAAGAACCTATGTAAAACTATGTAAGTTATCTTCTCGATAAACCAAAAAAAAAAAAGACTTTTTAAATTTGAACCACACAAATGTATACTTCAGAAACTTAAAAGACAGGCTAGAGAGATGGCTCTGGAGTTAAGAGCACTGGCTGCTCTTCTAGAGGTCCTGAGTTCAACTCCCAACAACCACATGGCAGCTCACAACCACCTATAAGGAGATTTGGTACACTGTTCTGGTATGTGTATACATAACCTTTAATCCTAGCCCTTGGGAGGCAGAGGCAGGCAGATCTCTGTGAGTTTGAGGCCAGCCTGGTCTATGAGAGATAGTTCCAAAACAGTCTCCAAAGCTACAGAGAAACCCTGTCTCCAAAAAAAAATTGCAAGACATAGTTATATAATAATATTTTTAAATTACTAGAGCACAAATTATTTTTTTCTGTTTTGTTTTGAGAAAGGTCTCAAATGTTTTCTTGAGTACTGGGATTACAGATGTTGTACACAACCACACCTGGCTCGTAGCTAACCCTCTTCAGAGAGGCAAATGAATGCTTGCTCTTTAATTCATGTATAGACAGTGTCATCTTTCTATTATAAATCAGTCAGAGCTCATAAAAGGGGAGGTAGAGCCCTTAGAGAGTCCTAAGAAGGCAGAGTCAGAGTTCAACTGTGTGTGTGTACCCAGGCAGAAGCAACAGGTTCTCACTGCCTGCCAAAAGGAAGACATTATCGTGGAAATGAACCCAGAAATTTCTTTGATTATACTTTGTTTCGTTTGTTTTGGGTTTTTGCTTGTTTGTGTGTTTGGTTGGTTGGTTTGGTTTGGTTTGGTTTGGTTTTTAGAGACAGAGTTTCCTTGGGTAGCCCTGGCTGTCCTGGAACTCAGTCTGTAGACCAGGCTGGCTCTGAACTCATAGATCTGCCTGCCTCCTGCCTCGCAAGTGCTGGGATTAAAGGTGTGCTCCACCACCACCCAGCTGCAGTTGTTTTTAGTGTCCTAGCCTCAAGGCACAGACAGAAATGAGACATACTGGATCAATCCACCATATGACCTCAGTCACAAGAGCACATCTCAGAGGAAGAGCAAGTGACCTCTGAAGCACTTAGACTTTTCAGGTTTTGTTTTATATTTTTCAAGGAATTGACTTTAGTCTTCTTCGATTCCTTGGAAATTTTGCTCAGTTCTGCTTTGCACACCCACGTTTACTTGTTTTTAACCAGAATTACATACAGGAGCAACTTGTGTGTATCTGCTTTATGGTACAGTCTGAATAGTACAAGTAGAATATTAAACTGTATTTGTTTTTAAAAGATTTGTTTATTTTTATTTACCTGTGTGTGTGGTGTGTATGTGTGTGAGTTTATGTGCACCATGTGCATGCAGTTCCTGAAGAAGCCAGAAGATGGCATCAGAGACCCTAGTACTGGAGTTACAGACAGTTGTGAGGTACCTGATATGGGTGGGTGCTAGGAACTAAACCCAGACCCTCTGCAAGAGCCTCAAGTATTCCTAACTTCTAAGACATCTCCTTGGCCTCTATACCAGACATTCTAAAATTGATCTTTCAGGTCAACCCTCCACAGCTCAAGTCTAGTGCTATGTCTCCAGCCTGCATACTACCTGGCACAAACTGTCCCCAAAGACACTTCTAGCTTCTACAACATTCATGGTAACACTGACGGTAATAGATGCAAACTTGGATCTATAGTTTGTTGAACAGTATGGCTTCAGTTGTGAATCATGGCTGTCTGGGGAGCAGAGTAATGGAAGCTTTCCTTTAGCATTTCATATTGGAAATGTATTTATTTAGTTAGTAATAAAGAATTCAAAGGTTACAACTTGTGCGAGTGTTCCTTCACTATGACATAAATACAGGAGCTAGCTCACTTATAAAGAAGAAAGGTTTCTTTGGCCTCCCAGTTGCACAGATTTCACCAGCTGATCCCTTATTGCTTTGGGCCTGTGGTGGCACACAGTAGACCATGGCAACATGTGGCAGAGGCGATCAAGACACTTGGTTGCAGTGGAGAATCATAGAGAAACACCCAATACTCCCTTGAAGGACCCGGCCCCAGAAAGATAACTCTTTTCCAATGTCACTTCCTCAAGTTTCCACACGTCCCAAGAGCGCCAAAGGATGGGGACCCGGCCTTCAGCATCTGCACTGGGAGAGGTATTCTAGACCAAAACGTTCCAAGTGACTACCGAGGTGACAGTTCCAAAACCCAGTGGACACGTTTAAAACCACCAAATCATAGATATCTTCTCTTGCTTTGTTTGTTCGTTTGTTGTTGTTGTTTTGAGACAGGTTTTCTCTGCCTAGCCCTGCCTAACCGTCCTGGAACTCACTCTGTAGATCAGTCTGGTCTCCAGCCCACAAAGATCCGCCTGCCTCTGCCTCCCAAGTGTTGGGATTAAAGGCATGTGTGACCATACCCAGCCAAAACCGATGAGTCGTGTATCTGCAAATAGCCAAAACGGTAACTATTACATTAGGTATATGTGCTTCCACAACAAAAAGCAACCATCAGAAAACAGTAGAGAACACCCTCCCCCTTAGGATAAGACAGAATGGGAAGTAGTGGATTTGAGTTTGCTCATTCTCTGCGCACCCAAAGAACTCATCACTTTCACTGCTTTGGCTTTCTTACAGAATCTCCTATTTCTGTCCCGTGTCCCCGTCGTCGTCCCCCACTACCCCACCGCCCAAGATCGCCATCAGGGTCATGACTCAAAGATACAGAAGAAGCAATGCATGAGGTTGCCTGCGTGTAGCATAGACCAGGCTCTGGGAGCCTGATGCCCAGCCTAACTGCCTTCATGCTTCATGATACTGGACCTTCACCTCTTCTTCACCATTAGCGCTCACTTCTTGGATTTTGTGATTCAGTCGCTGAGCTGGTCACTTGCCTCCCGTAAGAGTCTTCCTCACTGTAGACTCTCTGAGTCAACCAAGCAGCTGAGGTCATTCTTTATTTATAGCACCTTGAGGCGAGTTGGGCAGAAGCCACCAGGCACCCAAGCTGGAAACAGAGGCAACATCTGTTTCTCCTTTGACCTCCCAGCCCCGTCTGCCCTGGTTGCCCGTGATTCCCATCTCTGGGGTCTCTCATGATGGAGACGTTTCCTTCGGAACCCCCACCCTCATACTGCTAGAGATCAGGGCCTCGTGGCTCTCCAGCACCTCATTCACCAGCCTCTGCCCCACTTCACCTCCAGGCTGTGCTCCTCTTGTCCTTTCTCTACATGCTTGCCCGGCTGTTGTCCCCGGATGCAAATCTGGTCATGGCTGTTGTCCCCGGATGCAAATCTGGTCATGGCGTTCCCTGCTGAAGAAACACGGTTCTCATTGCAGCCCCACCCCCTCTCCCCGCACCATCTCTCCCCCCCTCCACCCTGTTCACCTCCACACTCAGTCTCTGTCCTGAAGTTGATTGCCTCCCAGGGGTGCTTCCATTAGCCTCCACCTCTGCCCACAATTGCTCTTTCGGCCAGGAGAGATCACGTGACTTGTGCATTGACCGGTTTGTTTACAACTGTTGTTCCTGTCCTTACAGCAGCTCCCTTTATCATTCAGGGGAGCCCTAGTTTGGGCAAGGGATTAGGAGTCAGGCTACAGTTGCTCTCCATTCTTCTCTTGGCATATCTTTCTCCCTCCCTCAAGATCTGCAGGAGTGTTAGAAGTCCCGAGAAAGACATATCTTGCAAAGAAAACGAGTTGTACCTTCTATGTTACCTCTGCCTTTTACATGTCTCGTTGTATTTGTATGGACCAGGGTGAATCGTCATTCTTTTTACAGTGTGCATTTATTTAATTTTTATGTGTACGTGTGTGCGCCTTAGTGTATATATGTGCATCGTGTGCATGCAGGAAACCATGGACACAAGAGGTATCAAGTGCCCTAAAATTGGAGATACAGACAGTTACAAGCCTGCCACGTGGGTTCTGGGAATTAAACCTGGTTCCTTTGCAAGAGCAGTAAGCTCTCTTTACCACTGAGCATCTCATTCCAGCTGGTTCTCGTGTCTGTGTTCTCGGTTAGAATTCTTTTTTTTTTCAATCATTTATTTATTTACTTTTTGTGTGTGCATAAGTGGAGACACACACATGTGGAGGTCAGAAGATAACCTAAGTCCTGTGGATTGAACTCAGGGCATCAGGCTTGGCAGCAAACACCTTTACCCACTGAGCCAGTCTCTCTTGAGTGTAACATATCTTTGTAACATATTCAGAGGCGTCCTTGGCATATGGCAAGTTGATACTTAATTCTTTCTGAATTTTCTGTCATAAGGGAGGAAGCCATAAATGAGTGCAGAGTAACATATGTCCACTCAGGTCAGAGCTGCCTTTGGGAAGGGCTTTCTTTCTTTCTTTCCTTCTTTCCTTCTTTCCTTCTTTCCTTCTTTCCTTCTTTCCTCCTTTCCTTCCTTCCTTCCTTCCTTCCTTCCTTCCTTCCTTCCTTCTTTCTTTCTTTCTTTCTTTCTAATTTATTTATTTAGGCCAGGATCTTCTATAACCTGAGAGGGGCTCAAACTTGCTACATAATCAAGGGTTACTTTGAACTCTTTTTTGATGTTGTTTTGTTGTGTTGGAATAGGGTCTCTCTACGTATCTACATAGCCCTGGTTGTCCTGGACCTCACTATGAAGACCGGGACATTGAGTTCACAGAGATCCTTCTGCTTCACCATCACACCTCTGTGAGGTCAAGGCAATCTGATCTACACATTAAGTTCCAGACCAGTCAGGGCTACACAGTAAAGATCCTGGCTCAAAACAAACAACTTTACTGTCAACTCTAGCCATCCAACCATTGCCTCATGCTTGTGGTGAGTCAAACGCTTCCCCTCTCTTCAGTAAAAGGCGAGGGCTCATAGCATCTGGAAAGAAACCTGTACATTCTCCTCCAGACAGGAGCAGAGGTCCTCTTCTTCCCTCACTTCTCTTTATCAGGGTATTGTTTTCAAATATTTGTTAGCAGGAGACTTTTAAAACCATCTTCCATTTCACCTTGCTTTTCCTTGCTTGCTCGGGATAGCAACTTTACATATTCCTTAACAATCTGCACTTTCTGGTTTTGTAATTTACCTATCTGTAATTTTGCTGGCCTCTCTACTATCCTTGAGCTTCCTAATGTTCTTTTTGAGAGTTTTCTATTTTTATCTTAAATTTTTCTATAAATTTATAGTTTGCCTTTTCTTTTTTATCTAACATGTGTTGACTATAGCAAAGTTTATTTTTATGTTTATAATAAAAATACTAAACTTGTCTCTTTTTAGTTCATCATGGTCTATTATTTGGGTAACCAACTTTTCTTAATTTCTCTCTTTTTTCTTTTTTCTTTTCTTCCTTTCTTTCTTTCTTTTTTTTCCCCAAGACAGGCTTTCTTTGTGTAACTTTGGCTGTCCTAAAATTCACTCTGTAGACCAGGCTGACCTCAAATTCACAGTAATCTGCCTGCCTCTGCCAGGATTAAAGGCATGTGCCACAAATGGATAGCCAGTTTTCTACAAAAAAAAAAAAAAGTTCTTATATGTTGCAACTGGCATTATGGTCATAAGGTATCAGTAAAAGATGACTCAGAGAATTTGCAAACGTGACTGGAGGTCATGATATGTAGGATTTTCATTGGGCTCTGGGCGATAGTGCTCTCCGCAAGACTCGGTTGAAAGGATGGTAGGGTTGCTCTCTGAGTATCTCACAGAGGCAGGAGGCTTGCGTGCTCTGATTTGGGCTGATTGCCACCATACCAGCTGCTTGAAATGGATATGGACGCTGCTGTCTCCTGCTTAGAAATAACGAAATATTAAAAAGGACTAATAAGAGTTGTTTATGCCAGGTGTTTATAGCACATGCCTGGAATCCCAGGACTCAGGAGCTGAGGCAGAGGGATCATGAGTCAAGGCCAGCATAGGCTAGGTGGCCAGACCTAAGGTGAGAGAGAGAGGTTTCATGATCAGCGTGTCTAACTTTTGGCCAGGTGGTAGGTAGAGCGTGTCTTTGATCCCAGCACTCAGGACACACAGACAGGGGAATCTCTGTGAGTTCAAGGACAGCCTGGTCTACAGAGCGAGTTCCAGAACAGCCAGGGCTACACAAAGGAACACTGTTTTGAAAAAAAAAATAAACAACAACAAAAATGTTCAGTTTTCTAAAATGATACTTTATTTATTTATTTATTTATTTATTTTTAGGATTTTCAAGCTGGGGGTCTCAAATATCCTAGGTTGGGTTTGAATCTCTGTTCCTCTTACTTCTTCCTCCCGAGCACTGTGACTGCACGTGTGCTCAACCATGCCTGACAAGGATTTTGCTTTAATGCTCTTCTTTTAGTTTATAAAAAGGAACTTAAAAAAACCCTTTCATTCAACCTCGTTTGTAACTTAATTCATACATAACATCCCCAAGTATTACTTTGAAGCTGATGAATTCCTTTCATTTTATATCTCCTTCTCTTCCATCCTGAGCCCAGATGCGAGTCACTGACACAAGGCAAACCTCAGCATGACTACTTTCCAGAATTCATATACGTCTACGAAGAATAACATTTTTATGATTCCAAAAATGCTTGGCATGAAATAGGAAAGCCCATATGCGACACCTTGAAGGAATAATTTTGACAGAGTGCAGAAGAGAGGACTGGATTATGGAATTTCGAAAAGAATTCAATTATCAGCCAATTGCAAGCACATCAATGGGAAGAGAGAACATCGTACTGGCCAGCACCAGAGGAGCACGAACCCAGAAAGGTCACACCCACCCCTCTGTGGCTTGTGATCAGCCCAGCCCATCCTTCCCTGGGTTTGCCTTCTCTCCTGTGTGCACAGAGAGCTCTCACTATAGTTTTTTGTCAAGTCTGTGGTGGATAGACTCAGCATTCAAAAGGAATTCCACCAGGCCAGGTGTGGCCGTATAGAACTAAAAATGTTGGCTTTTGGGAGTCAAGGGGATAACAAGTTAGAGGCCAGCTTGGGCTCCATAGTCAGTTCAAGACCAGCTTAGGCTACATAGTGAGGTTGTATTAGAAAACAAAACCAGGGCTGGGCCTGCAGCTCAGAGGAAGCCTGGATGTCTAATGTGGTAGGCCTCCTGGAACTGGACCAGTGGCTTCCATTTCCCTGCCTCTGTGTCTTTCCAGTCCTTTGTATAAGGAACCCTTGTTCAGCCACCCTCCAGCCATCTTTTGTCCTGGCTGACTCATTCCTGTTCCCCGAAGGTGACTGTTTTGAGCTATTAGTCATCTTAGTGGCTTTCTCTGAATTCATCCCCAGGCACCTTATTGTTCGCTTAAGTCACAGAGGTTAGGGCCCGGAGGGATGGCTCAGCCGTTAAAGGCTAGGCTCACAACCAAAAATATAAGTCACAGAGGTTAGGGCTGGAAGCATGTGCCAGCACAGGGTTCAGAAGAGCGGCGGACATAATCTTGTATGATTCTCTGAAACAAAGTAAGAAAAACTGTTAGGAGTTGTTTCCCGCAAGGGGTAGTTAAACAAGTCAGTGATTCTGGTGGCACCTTAAGTCTAAACAAACAATGTGTGTGTGTGTGTGTGTGTGTGTGTGTGTGTGTGTGTGTGTGTGT